AAAAAAGTCAGAATTCTGACTTTTTTTCCCCATACTAAACTGAAATAAAATTTTAAAAATCAGTTAACTTTGTTTTTTTTCAGTGGCTCTAATCCTCTCTTCCACCCACGCAGAAGAGAAACATGAAATTCCCTGACAGCTTTCAGAGAGCTTTGGCTGGGGATTCCCAGCGCTGCCTCCCGCCGGTATGCGGGATAATCCTGATGAACTGACTTCACAAATTATGTTTTGAGTTAACTTTCTTGCTTAAAATTGTTTTCAATTAATTTTTTCCAAGCTTTTTAGCTTGAAGCTACAGAACATAGCAGATAGTCAACCAGAGCGCCAAGTATCCAGAACATCGAAGCGCCAAAGCAACTTAACCAGTTAGACCCAGCATCCAAGTTTGGGTGTTAAAGCGTTTTTTTGACGCCCAGAGCATGTTCAGTGTGAACGCATCATAAAAGTTGCTCTATCATTGTTCAGTCACAGATAGTGGTGTTTTTACATCCCAAGTGTAGATGCATCAGTTTGCATTCAGAGGGAACATTTTTTGTGACACATTTATCATCAGCTCTATAAAACAATACATGATCCATAAAAACCCAGTGTGCTTTGACAAATGTAAGCTTGCTGTACCTCGTAAGCATCTGATAGGTGACGTAGCCCCTTCTTGAGGTACTGGTAATGTTGTTCTCGCAACAATGTTGGCCTGAAGAAAATGACATTGGACAGAAAGATGCATGAACATCAGAAGACAAATATTTACTCTAAATCTGTATAATTTGAAGTTACATGACATAAAAAATGAATTCAATAACCAAAATAAGGTTTGATGTTTTCAGATGTCACATTTTAAATATGGACCTTTCAAAAACAAATAAAAAAGAAAGATGTAGAAACTAATTATGAAAACAAAAACATCTCAATAACATATTTACTTTTCCAAACCGGATTGGAATCCTTATCAAGTATACATTTATATTTTTTCTGTCTAATAGGATTCTAAACTAAATCCCTCATCTTCTTTTTCCATTTAACAACTAAAACTCTATACACTGTCATTTTTCTAGAGCTGTTGAAAGTTTTCCAGCATCAAGCAGTTTCAAAAGCAGTGATGTCAGTCAGTGATGCATTCAGGAGCATCAATGTTAACAACTCAACCACTTATCTTACAAGGAATAAATTCCAACGTTATTCGTATTGTTAATATATTATCCAAGACATCTGACACATCTGAAAGATTTAAAGAGGAAAATTCCAGTCATATTCAGAATTCAAACTTCAGTTAAATATAAAATTATTACATACTGTTCAACAAATGATAAGTGTTAATTTTTTTTTTTTTTATTGAGAGTACCGGTAGTTTTTATTTGAATGTGCTTTAACGGAGACATCCATAGTCGGCAAAGAACACTACTGCCACCAACCGGTTTGTGACGTCACGGTGCGGTATCAGCTGTTGATCAAGTCCCAGTGCTGTGTCTGGTGTTTGTCACAATGCGCTTTTATCCATTTTGAAAACATTCTTCTTCCAAACATTGGCTACATATGACGTGTTTTTTCTTTGGCCAGAAGTTCGATGGCAAATCCTCCATCTTTAAATTAGCAATCCAACGACGAACCCATGGTGGATCATAAATTGGAAAGGTGAAATAACTTTTTTTTTAACGTTTCCCAATGTATTGCAACATCCAACTGCCATGCACGTGGGCATTGTCAGTTTAACTATAGCTCTTGCGAATTTCAATGATGAAGTCCTTTTGAAATCTAAAATAATTGTTGTTGAGTGCAGGCGTGTCTAGTAGTTCCCACTGAGTTTTCTTGTAAAGCGGGGAGGATGGCCTTTAGATTACCGCATTGTGACGTCAGTGCCGGAAGATGTCAGGAGAGACCCGTTACTATATTTGTGAATAAATGGCCACTCCCTGTCAGCATTTGGTTTTAAGGTTTTTGTGAGGATCCAAAAGCAGAAGCTGAGAGGCAGGGGTGAGATCTTTGAGGGTTTAATGAAAAATCAGGCAGCAAAAACAGGAATCCAAAAATTCAACTTAAAAATTTAAATCAAAACGGAAATCCAAAAAAACAACGTAAGAATTGAACACTAAGCAGGACCATGGAGACATCAGGGGAAACAGTCATGAGGAGCCAGGGTAGGATGAAATAAGATGAGGAACCAGCAAAGAGGGACTGCAGAGGGAGTGTATTTATGGCTGACTGAACAAAGGTAGGACTAATGAGCTGATGGGGAGTAGGTGTGACTAGAGCTGATGAGGAAGCCAAGGGAAAAGAACACAAGGGGGCAACAGAGGACAGACAGAAAAACCTAAGCGACTTAAATGAATCCAGACACCAATAAAGCTAGAAAAGGAAAAACCTGGCTAAACTTGAAACTGAAAACTTAGAGGGAAAACAACAGAACCAAGATCGTTAAATTCGCTAAATTCATCGAATCACAGCGACCGTATTAGTTTTAGGTATAAATAATGATCCATTGGTTATTCCTTGCTGACTGGACTTTTCCTTTAAGTAAAGACCTGAGGGGCATTATTAAGAGCCTGGAGTGTCAACAGCCAGTGAAGCCATCATGTCCCTTACCCATCAGTCCAACATTAAACTCAGATGATTACTATAGTAAAAGAAAGACACTAATCTTAAACTCATGACTAATCAAAAGAGAAGGACTAAAATTGACTTAAATTATAAAATGAAAAAAATAAAATACATTTGAAAAGATACTGGCAAGAAAATGCATTTATCCACTTAAATATATAGAAGTGATTTGTGCAAATTATCCAATGAGGTTGCAACAAATTCTTACCCCTAGTCTCTATAAATAAACAAACCGAATGAACAGAATAGAGTAAATCCAACTGAGCCTAAAGGTCTGATTTGGATAATTTCCTGATTTTTTCCCTCCATTTGTCAGCAAACAAGCATTCAGCTCCATGTATGAATCAACTGATTCCTCTCCTCCCCTTCATCCACCTCATCATGGTCTCCGCCTGCCCTTTAAACGCATTGTTTGCTGTAATTACACTCTTCCGGTTAAGTCGCAGGCTCTTATCCATTTTTGTTGCAGCAAATATGGAAGACAACAACAACCGACTGGCGCATCGTATCAGCTAATGATTCATCACGCCCTTTAAAATGTTGAGGGCAGCCGCTAGCGGAGAGAACAAGATTAAAGAAATATATGTATAATTTTTGATGATGATAAGAAAACATCCAGAGAATGAATATATTCTAGATGGACAAGTTCTATGTATCCAATGTAGATGATTCTAAATGATAAAAACAGGAAAACAGACCACAGAACTGAATAATACTAAATATTCCCTCAAAGTTTCGTCCCTACTCTTAGCTCTATGCCACATTGGGTTTGTTGATCTGTGGGGAATTATTAATGTTAGAATTGCTTCACCGTTACCCCGATGTGTCGAAAACGCGTAATCACAGCCCTTAATGACTACAAGCCTGCTGCTCTGATGTCTGTTATCATTAAAACGTTTGACTGATTAGTCCTGAAGCATCTGAAAGATATCACAGGACCCCCTGCTGGACCATAGACATGAATATGTAGACGCCTCATTGGGCGCTGGCTTGAACATCAACATTACTTCCAAATTGAGCGGGTAGCTACAGGAAGAGGTCACTGATCAGAAAGGATGCCTCATTCCTGTGCTGCATGGAGGTGTACCAAACATTTTATAATACAGACCAGATCTGCTGGTATTTCACAGGCAAGAATGGAAAAATAAACATTATTTTAAAGTGATAACATCATTTAACAAACAGAATTTGCTAAATTTGTAAAATCCCATACATCTTAATGAAAACCCTGCATGGCAAACAGTTAACAAAACACAATATTCTTTTCCAGACCTTAAATTAATCCAATTGTTTATATTTTTAGGTTTTACAAAGGTATTGCTTTTAGAAAGCAAATAGAAACAGCATTGAGAAAACAGTTACATCTAAACATTTTTTTTTTTATCGCATCACATGAAGGGATACACTGAAAATTCAGCCTCACTTTTATCTTTTGTTTTTTTTTATAGGAGAGAAAAGTTTGTTCCTACTTCTCCAGAATGCATAACCACACTAGAACATTTTTTTTCACAAATAAATAATGAAAAAGTAAAACAAACCACCATTTTATTAATTCCACCAAGGAGGTTGTTTTTAGGAGCGTATGTCCACCTGTCCCCTTTCTTTTTTTTATTATTTGTTCCTTTTTTCTTCTTTAACCAAAGGTGCACCCGATGTATGAAACAATCCATTAAATTTTGGTGAGGAACCACATCATAAACAAGGAGTTCCCCCTTAAACCAGAGGGTGGCAGCAGTGACTATTGACAGTTTCAGCATCGGATTCTTTAAAGTGCAGAAGTATTATACTGAACACTAAAACACACTAAAGGTGAGTCATGCCTCGCTTTAAGTCACGATCTGCTGATCAAACAAGAAAGCAGAGTGAATGGAGAACCTTTGGTAATGATCCAGATCATGTGTGAGATTTAGCTATAGGTGCAAGTCACAGAATGGGGCAAAATGCTGCTTGGTGGAGGTCTGCGCTCTCCGAGGGCTTTTCTAGTTTGTCATATATTCCACCCTGTCATAAAAGCCCAGAACAGATGGTCTCTAACAAACCCACAACCTCTTCCGACTAATTACATTAATTTTCTCATGTACTTCCACATAGGCTGTGGTGTCAGCAATCATCGTATCCAACAGTTGTCATAGAAATGAGATGAGTCACCCACACATTTGATAGCAGCAGCAAAGTGTGTGGGCTGACCAGTGCATCGTTTCAGATAAAAGCCACCCTAAATCACAGCTATATGTTCTTGGAGGGGCGGCAGTTACTGTCAGCGTTGTGAAAACGCAGCACCTGACCTATTCATCGATGAATCTCCAAGCTTAGCTTTGCGGACTGTCTAGATCCTACCTTTAAAATAGACTATCCTCCAGCTGGAGCTGTATTAGATCCATGTCAAAAGGTTTCACATACATGTGCTTTGTGGTAATATCAGTAAGAAATATAAACGTTACCATGTAATCTGGAAAAACAATACATCTGCACTGTAGTTATTGCACAGAAAGCCAAACAACTCTGAAAACACAACATTTAGTTCACCTTGTGTAGACGGTCTGTAGGAACTTACTGTGGTAAGTTGTGCATTTGCTTGTAAACGTTGATGGCTTCTTCAATGGTCTGCTCCACCTTTTTCTAAAGAAAAAAAAAAAAAAAGAGTGAACCGGAAGAGAGATAGTTATGAGAGGGAAGTCTAGCATTTAATAAAAACTACTGAAGAAAATAACAGAGGTGGGTGTTTTAAATGGCAACAAAAATAAGCTAGATACAGGACAGAGTACCTTTATATATATATATATATATATTTTAGATTTAAGCTAATGACAGAGGAGTATAATCCCACACTGGATACATTCTTTTTCACAACATTTTTTTTAACCTAAAAATGATTTGATTGTTGATAAGAAATTTTTAAGAGGATACTTTGTTTTTGTCTCTTGGGGTAACATGTGGACTTTAAATGTTCAAGAAAAACCCTCAAAAAAGTGAATGTTTTCAAACAGTTCTCAAGGGCATTCAAAACAACCGGCCATTCAAGCGATGTTACCTTTAAAAACAGACGGCAAGATGCTGAAAGAAATTTCAAAACCTCTAAAATGTCCTCATGGGGCCTGCAGCATTAGCTTGTCAGTACGGTTTAGACTGAAGTTTGCCAGAGACTATATAAAAAAGCTTGGATTTATCTGAATCTGAGTCTAAGTTTTCCATGCTGTTAGAGGATAAAGTGTATGTTTACTTAGCTCAAAAAACCTAAATGCCTAAATAGATGTTCATATGCTATAACTGACATTATCTGCTTGTTTGGTTTTCTTTCAGTTTTGAAGAATTACTAGAGAAATAGGTCTGTCTGTGTCTTGTGATCTTTAGACTCCAGGAAATCCTGGATTAGGAAAATGTTTTTGCAACGTATTAAAATAATAATAATGAAACTTCAGTTACATTTAATTCGTTAAAGTTTTTGTTTAACTATTTCTTATCTCCGTTTTTTTTTTCACAAGTTAAATTTGACAGAAGACTTTTAGAAATCAGACGCCGATACCTGAAGAGGAGTCTGTACGTAGGCAGTACTTAGTTATTCAAGAAACATGGGTTACATCATTCATCAATATATGGAACCTAATACATCACTGAACTAACCAAACTTTTATATTTTACTTTTATATTTCTTATTTCCTCCTTTTTATTGTTGATATTTTGAACTTATTTTCAAACCAACCATCTGTAAACTTTGGAGGAAGGTTTAAAATATATTATACATAATGTATGCTCATCTTTGTATTGTGTGGCTATGTGACCAGGATCCATAATTATAACCAACAGGTGGTGCCAATTCTTCATTAAGAGGAGCACAAAGGGTTTAGGATCAAATTAAAGGAGAATAAAATTTAGATTTATCTTTTAAAAAAACTTATAACTAGGGGCTTCTGGTAAACCCTTGCTAGTTTTACTTGAGCCATCTTTTTGTAATCTGCATTTATTCATCCAAACCCCATATCAATGTAAGGTTTGTTGTCCACTTCTTTTGAGTAAAACAACCTTTAAATAAGTTATTTTGAGATCTTCTACCCCATTATCAATTAGATTCTTCAGACATATTTTAATCTGAAAGCATTTTAGCTTGACTATGCTGCTGTAGATTCATTTCAACCAGTGAAATAACTAAGTCTGTTAAAGTAATCAGAGGATTTGTGGATGATTTCCATAACACCCCTGAGCTTTCTTCTGTATTTGGTCATTCATCCCAACTCCATAGTCCAAAAAATGAATACAGGAAACTGTCACATGTAGAAATCAGCCAGTGGTTGTTGGAGCTTGGCAACATTACTGAATAGCTTTAGCCACAAGTTATGGAAAAATGCCTCTGTGGTCCGGTATATTCTCCCCATTATTGACTGATTTTACTTGGAAGCGGTGTACGCAATGAGATTTTTTTTCCAAATGATTCCTCTGCAGGGAGATCCTTTTATTTCTTTGCATGATCTGCAAACTTTAGCTTTGCTAAAGGATGTAAATCAGCAATTGAGAAAGCTCAAAATTTCTTGATGCATGCCAGCTAAGTTATTTGCAGTGTTGGGCACTTTACTTTGAAAAAGTAATTAGTTTTAGTTACTAGTTACTTCTCCCAAAACGTAACTGAGTTACTACCCAATGAAAGTAACTAGTTACTAGTAAAAGCAACTATTGTGTTACTTTCTCGCCCCCGTAACCCTCTCCACTCTGCCCCCACCTTCTCGCAGTGTGTTTCCAAAGCCAGCTGAATAGAGCGGACGACAAAGACAAGAACCTGCAGAGAGTTTTGCATTTATTGCAACTCAATGTAAATAGTTCCCCTGTGGCGCGAGCACAGGGCGGCTGTAACGCGCCTTTAGCCAGCATGCGCGTTTCCTGTCGCTTGCGCTGTGAATCGTTCCGCCTGCGCTGCGCGGAGATGCAGGGAAAACCTTATCTGATGGGGAAACGCAGCTCGACGTAACACCGGTATTTCCATGTGGAAAACGCTGTTTTGCTGCTGGAGTCCTCCTCACTCTCCATCTCTCTGTGTTTGCTGTACGTTAACACCTGCCAGCGGAAACACCCACCTACCCAACTGACAGACGGAATCTCACGGTACATCAGCCAATCTGATCCTCCCCTCTCTCATGACATCATGAAAAAAAGGTTAATTGTGCGACCTTTATCTATGATTTCATTGAAAACTACCTGATGACTTGCAGAGACACATAATTTTCTCTTTACCCCATATAAAACAAAATTAGGGTCTTAACACTAGAACTCCCAAGGCCGTCATTTTGATGGTTCTGAGATTTTAAAGGGAAAGAACTATATTTAAAATGAATCTTATGTTGCTCACGTTTACTGACTTTTTCTGTTTCTATACTTCCTTTATTTTCATGTAGTTTTTTTAATAAAATAAAAATGTAAAAAATAAATATGGTTAATTTAACCTCGATGTCCCACAGCCGTCATTTTGACAGCTCTATTAGTTGCATTGTAAATTCGGATGATTGACGTTTGGTAACGTTGCCTAGCAACCAACGTTCTACCTAGAACTCTTTGGCTAACATGGAAAAATGGCTTTTAGAATAAATCTAACAGCGAAACAGGATTTAGAAATCCTTCAAAATATTGGTGATAGTGATTCGGGCAGAGGGGGACAGACCGATGAGGAGGACTGGGTAGGAAGCGGCTCAGATTCTGACAGCGAGTCCGAAATGATCACCCATCTCCGGGAAAACGCAGATGAATCAGTGACCCCTCAGACAATAGTGAAACTTTTGTTCAAGCACTGCTCTCAGCCGGTTAACTCAGCGGCCCAAAAGCCAAACCAGAGCCCGCAGTCTACTATAAGCACACATGTCGGATCAGATGATTAGAAAGTATTCTATAAAAGCTCCGACGCGAAGGCGGCCTGTGGCTTTAATTTATGATCTCCTGTAAATATCAGGTATAAATGCATTGGTTTTGTTCAGGAGCAGTTTAAATTTTACTTTTTCACGCAGAAATTTTATCCTTGAACTGGTAAGAGTTGCAGGCAAACTGCAGGTTTCCAGCCCCTCTGCAGCTGAAAAGCAGCTTTGGCGAGAAAACCAGGTGCTGCACAGAAAAATGCTCATATTATGTTTGTCATAAATGTGAAAAGGTGTTCTGCTGGAAATATTCGGGGGGGAATCAATCAATTTCTGTAAATAAAATTCTAATTTCAAACTTTGAACCTGTGTAGTAAAACAGTCTTACTCTATGCATTTACTTTTATTACAAATTTAGAACACAAATAATAATAGCATACAACACAGCCTTTAAAAAAAATAAATATAAGATTTGTTTTAAGGTTTACATATCCATGATGGGTTTATATCCCACACTAGAACAATTTCAGTTAATGACATCATCACTACTCATGAGTTCCATTGGGAAAAATGTCACCCATCAAATTGACGGCCAGTGGGAGTTCTAGTAGGATCAGAATCCTTGGAGTCCTAGTGTTTAAAGAGCATGGATTCTGTATAAATCAACTTTAATATTAGTATTTTGATGTGCATAATTAACCACAGCATTTCAGTTGTCAAGTAACTATTAATATATGAAAAATTTAATGTTTAATAAGTTTAAACATTCCTCTTAAATGTATTACTGGTGCCAACGTCTGTATTAGAGGGCGGAAAAAATGGTAGGGGTGGCCAATGAGTGGCCATGGCCACCTCTGGCCCCCCATCTAGCTCCGCCCCTGCGCGACTGTAATTTCTGAGTTACATAAAAACAATATTGAGGATATTTATGTTGCAAAAACACAAACGCTGGGCTCTTATCAGGGATGTTAAAATTCTCAAGAGTCACATATTTAACAATAAAACGCAAATGTAATTTGTTGGACTAGCAGCACATTTGGCAATGAGTTTAGTTTTCGTTGCGATTTCTTTTTGCAAAAGTCTCACTAGCCTAAAAGGTCTAACAAGCAGAAAGACGATTCCTTTGTTTTTAAAATATTGACAGATTGTAGACAAAGCCCGAAAGGAAGTACCGAGCATAAATAAGGTAATCGCATTATGATTCGATTGTCAGCTATGCAGAAGCTTAAGTTTGCGAACTAAAGAAGAATAAAATAGACCGAAAAAGTAATTGAACACATCTCCTGTACAGCAGAAAATTAAGACGAGTTAAGAAAATAAATGTATCCGGTTTCTTTTTGCCTTTTACCATCAGCAGAGCAGAGCAGAGCAACGTTAGCTCCAATGTAGCTAATCTGTTGTTAGCTCACCTGCTCCACTGAAGTAACCGTTTCCACTCCGTCATCCACAAACATTTCTCCCGTGTGCTGCTCACTGAAGCACCGCAGAGGAGCAGGAACACCGTCCATGATGGAGGGAAAGACACGCTGCTAACAACAATTCAGTAAGGATGCTTTGAGGTCCACACTCGGAGTGTTTGGAGAGTTTTCTGATTTATTGCTGAAGTGGGCGTAAAAAAACTGAGCGAGCAGCCAGCTACGGCGTGTCAGATGGGACAAAACATTTCCATTCCGCTTCATTCACCAAAACAAAACAAAAAACACGAACACCTGAGTTATTATTAAATCTTTTTTAATTCAGTGAAGTCAGAGCTATTTATTTCTATAATTTTAATGCCACTTCATTATATTTTATTGCATAAATTGACAAATAATCCCATAGAAGGGAGGATAATAAAAGACCCGCATTAGTTTATTTTTAAACCCAAATTTAAAGGAAATG